GAGTTGGAAAAAAATCAGGAGATTAAGCCTCATTGTCTCGGGAACAAAATGGTACAAATTCATGGCAATCTAAGTCACATGTTTGAAGTCAGTAGTTACATTCATAATATTTGAGCTATATTGCTAAGCCTCTGTTGTCTGAAACAACTTTTCAACCTCTGCAATGGTGGCTCGAGCATCTTCCAATTCCGGGCCTTCTTTCTCACTTGCTTCCTCTGACTCAGCTTGAAATTAGCAATATAATTAGTCAGTAAATTCGCCAGATTAGTTGATGATAAGGATCTAGGTCTTCAACGAAAACAAAAGAAAGGGCCCAGGGAGGCACTTAGAGATTATAACTCTTACCATTTGGGATACATGATGCAATGACACAAGCACTAACACATTCATCTTGAATCAAAAGATATCATGACCTGTCTTCTCAAATCATGTTCATCATCCATTTTGTCACATAAATATTTTTCTTCCAGCATTTTCTATGACAGCCCTCTGTTTTCATAATGTTAGGCACCTACCGCTAAGATTCCAATGCCTTCCAAAATGTAGATGAGGAATAAAAATAAAACCCATCCATGAATCTCTCACAATCTAAAGGAAGTTGGATTCCATGTCAAAAATATCTCAGTTTAACGAAAGAGTTGGGACAGACCCCAACAACATCAGATTACTGAACATATTTCACCAATGAAATCAAGATGAAAAATTGAGGCAGAACCCTCAAATCCACCCTCAAAAACTATCGATAGGGACACATTCAACCCTAAAAAAAAAGCAGGGACAAATTGCTCCTCCAAATCATAAATCAATACAAATCACCCATTTTTCAACGTTTTCCGTTAAAAAATGCTGACGTGACAAACAGAATTCTAACTCTAACGTTTTTCGTTGAAAAAGGGGTGATTTGTATTGATTTATGATTTGAAAGGGAGATTTGTCCCTGCTTTTTTTTTAGGGGTGGATGTGTCCCTACCGATATTTTTTGAGGGTGGATTTAAGGGTTTTGCCAAATATTGATTGATCAATTTTGCCCCCAATTTTGACATCTTAAGCAATCGATTCTGATCACCTAATTTGTTACCTAAAAACTATGACAAGAATAAGGCCTTTCATTACCACCCAACTCAGAAAGTGCACTAAATTTATTGAGAATGTAAAACATATGCAAGCATAACACTAAGGTAATGTCAAATACCAAGGTTTCTTTAAGGTCAGCCAATGATGCCTCTAAGCGCTTACAGCAATCAGGAATCATCATCCTTGATTCAGCTAGCACGTTTTCCTGTACAACCAGATAAACGAAAGGCCTCAATTACTTTAAAGCATTTTAAAAGAAAAGGGTCAAACATATTGCATACATCACTGTCACCTTAAAAAAAACAAAATTTTTTAGATTCTCTGACTCAGAAGAATCACATTGAAGCAGTGACTTGGAAACTGTTCGAAGAAAATCTAGCATCACTCACAACTTCCAAATTATAAGAAACTTCATATCCACCTCCTTTGCTTCACAATTTGACAAAGTGAAAAACAATCCTCTATAAACACCATGCCCAAAACTTAAGCCCATGCAGCATGCCTGTAGTTTTTTGATTTTGCTGGTACTTTTTATAAATAAGGTATTCAATTCACATGCACAAAGGATTAAAGTGCTGGTAGGTACCATGCCACATAATGTGTTCTTAATCCAAAGCATTGATCTGCTTCGGAAGACAAAATCTTCATCTCTAGAAATATATACGTTCAAAATGATCTCTTATATTGGTAGTATGTATGCTTTCTGATTTCTCATGATCTCACTCATGATAAATCGATAATAATGATAGTATGACCATGACAATCAAATTTCACATGCAGGTTTCACAATCATTTTCTTCCATCATCTTTCAGTTACTTCTTGTGAGACACTTGATACTTTTTTCATAATCCCAATTTTACAAAAAATGTAGATCAATATGATTATAAAGTGCATTAGAAAACCAAAATGTCTAATGAGGACCCAAAAGGGGTCAGAAAAACTGAACAGGCAATTGCTAGAGCTACCACTGACAAATTTGCCACTTTTGAATACTCCTTTCAGTAATATTTTCTATTGACTAGAAAACTAGCTAACTAATTTTGTTTGAATAATCTTGTCTTTTTCTATCATGTTCTTGAAATTCTCAAAAATTTATTGGTCAAATCACTTGAAAACCATTACAAATAAACAACCTAACCATTTCGGCCAAAGCCAAAAAATTTCTAACTCAAGAAGTGCCTACTGTTCTTACGAAAGACTTGCAGAGAGATTTTGAGCTTTTACACCTTCAAGAAAACAAAACATCAGCACAGGATGTGCCATTTATCAATGGGCCTTTAATGCAACTATGATTCTAACAGATCCACCCAAATAGCCATCATTCTCCATAGATGTTTGTATGTCAAGTTTGTTTACCTTGATAAAAACATTTGCAAAGTGGAAGCTAAAAGCTAAAAGCTGTTATCAAAATTAAGCTGTTACCGTGTATGGAAACTTGATCTGCAAAATTAAGCTGCATGTATTTGCAAATTCAACAAATCAAAGCAATATTTAAGCTGCAAAAATGTAAAAATAAGTAAAGATTGTATACATTTAGCTGCTCAATGAAAATTTACACATTAAACAGCAATGTGAATTTCAAGTGTGATTTTGATAAAGGAAAAAAAAAAAAAAAGGAAGAAATTTTACTGCCCAAAACAACCCTCAATAAAATTCATAAATCATGCAAACTCAATGCTTTTGAAGCATTAACTGTCGCTTGAGGTCATAAGAG